TTGACTCTTACCGTTTGTCGATTAAGTTCAGGGTGATGGTGCCACGTACATTATTCTGTAGTTGTTGGCTGTTCTGGTTGGTTCTCAGTCCACAGAACTTCCTTTATGATGTTTTTCATAGCAGGGTTGGCTTTGGCCAAATCCCTTAGCTTCTGTTTGTCCTGGAATGTTTTTATTACACCATCGTATTTGATTGACAGCTTCTCTGGGTAGAGGATTCTTGTGTGCGGTTTTTTTTCTTTCAGGGTTTTATATATGTCTCCCCATTGCCTTCTTGCCTGCATGGTTTCTGTTGAGAGATCCGAGCTTAATCTGATTTGCTTGCCCCTTTGTATGTTATGTTTCTCTTTTCCCTAACTGCTTTCAAGATCCTGTCTGTCCTCATCTCTGATTTTGGAGAGCTTAATTATTATATGTCCTGGTGATTGTCTTTTAGGGTCTATCCATCGTATGGTTCGTTGAGCTTCTTGAATGCTTATCTTTTCACTTTTCATGATGTTAGGGAAATTTTCTTCCAGAAGCTCTTCAACTGTCTCCTCTGTGGGCTTGTGTGATTGTTCCTGTTCTGGAATGCCAATAATTCTTATGTTATTCCTTTTCGTGTTGTCCAACATGAATCTTCTGATTTTTTTATCCTTTTTTGTATTTGTTCTTCTATCTTAATAGTGTTGAGAGATTTATCTTCTAGCTCACTAGTTCTGGCTTCGATCTCTTCAATTCTACTCCTTTGCCCTTTCAGTGTATTGTCTATTTCTGATATTCTATTATTAATTGTTTGGACTTTTTTCTGTAGGTTTTGAATTTTATCCAATGCTGTATCTATCTTATTTGATTGTTTCTGTAGCTCTTTCCTGACTTTTTCCGTATTTTTCTCAACTCCATTGTATAGTGTTTTGATACATTTTATAATCATTTTTCTGAATTCCTTCTCCGGCATTTCCAAAGCCTACCCATCTTCCAATATGGAGTGTAGGTCTACTTTCAGTTCATTTGCCTCAGTCACTTTATCGCATTTCTGGACATGTGCAGATATGGTCATCTGCTTCTGTTTTT